GATTCCCCAGTCCTCCGCATGCAGCAGCTGGTGTGACCTTGGGTCAGTCACAAGTTCTCCCAGCGCTGCTCTCTCAAGGGCAGTCCTCTCAGAGCTCTCTCAGCCCACCTACCTCACTGCCACCGGGTGTCTGTTGTGGGGAGGGGAAGGGAAAGGAGTTTGTAAGCCGCTCTGAGACTCCTTTGGGTCGTGAAGGGCGGGGTACAAATCCAATCTCTCCTTCTAGGAAAGGGACTGAGAATAAAAGGCAAATACTGTCGTGTGCCCGATGCGGCCTCATTTGGAGTGCTGTGTCCAGTTCTGGTTGCTGCGCATCTCCGAAAGGATACTGCTGAGCTGGAGAAAGTACGGAAGGGAGTGACCAAGATGATCAAGGGCCTGGAGCACCTTTCCAACAAGGGATTGGGACTTTTCAGTCTAGGAGAAAGAAGACTGAAGGGGAAACATGACAGAGGTTTATAAAATGATGCATGGCCTAGAGAAAGTGGGTAGAGGGTTTTTTTTTGTCCTTCTTCCATAACACTAAAACCTGAGGGTACCCAATGAAGTTGAAGGACGGACAACAGGTATAAGACAGAACACTCCTTTACTCAACAAGTCTTTAAATGGTGGGATCGGCGATGGTCGTGAACACAAATGGCTTTTGAAAGGGGCTGGATGCATGGGGAGGTCTTTCACCAGCGACTGGCCAAGATGGCTACAGAGAACTTCCACATCCAAAGGTAGTCAACCTCTGAAACCCAGTGCTAGGGAAAGGTCTTGGGTCTCTATGACATTTGCTGGACCTTCAGAGCACCCAGTGGGATGCTGTGTGAAACAGACTGGATCACTTCATGGAGAGCCTGCTTCTCTCCCCAAGGTGGACTCCAAGCGGCTTGAGGTGGGTGTGGCCGAGAACGTGTGACTGGCCCAAGGTCACCCAGCGGTCTTCCATGGCAGAGTAAGGATCTGACCCTGGGTAGTCCACGACTTCTAACAGACTGCCTCGGGAGGTGGTGGAGGCTCCTTCGCGGGACGTTTTCAAGCGGAGGCTGGACGGCCCTCTTTCGTGTATGTTGTAGGGCTCTTTCGGCTAAGCTCCTGCAGAGTGCAGGGGGGTTGGACTAGATGACCTGCAGGGTCCCTTCCAACTCTAACATTCTATGATTCTAACCCCTAAGACCACACTGGCTTTCTAGATGGACCACTTGCCTGATTTCAGCAGGGATATGTTATTACGGCGGGCATTAAAACTGCATTTTAATTCAGTTCACCATAGATCGGTTCTGAATCAAAAGAGTGGAACACAACACAGAAAACAGTGGGATGCGATGGATTGGCTGTGATATCCTCCGTATTCTCTACAAAGCCCAGCATGAATGAAACATGGTAATTCCAGACTAAAGGGTAGCGTCAGATCAACCTGAAGGAAGTAGCAACTTATGATATCAACTTCTATGATAAACTGTCTCTTTTTCATAGCGGTTTGATGCAAGCGTTGTAGTTTGTAGGATTCCGACCTCCTCTTTGATGGGAACAGGGAAAGATCGGTTTGAAGTGCGTGTTTATAGATGGATGCTTGTAACTCGAGAAAAAGGAAGAAGTTATTTTCTTTCCCGGTGGGTTCCTTCAGAAAGATCCCGCAACATCAAGGAACTAAACCCGCAAAGGCTTTTGATTTCCATATATAATTTATTAATATTCTCTTCCTTTTGTACAAGCTGAAAATAGAACAGTGAGAATGTAAGAAGGGAGGGGGGCACGTAGGAGCAGCAGGGCGGGATGGATGGGGGGGGCGATCCGCAGATTAAGATGAGGAGGAAACGGACGACCGAGAAGTCAGCGGAGACGTCAGCCCTGGGATTTCTCTTCCAGGGAGGAGGCGTTTTGGCCCATCTCAACACCCCCAAATTGACTGGACGAAAGAAGGGGCGGGGACTTCATTGTGGCTTTTTCTCAGCCCGCCCCCCCCGGATTAAAAGGGGATGTCGTGTCCCGCTGGGGGATAGGGTAGGTGGATCCGTCCCAGAAGCGAGGGAAGAAAACAGGCACAATCGGAGGGGGGGAGTGGAGAAGAATGGGGGTGAGGGGTCAGCAGCACCGTAGACCAAGCAGGCCTCGGATGGTTCTTCTAGGTCGTGGGGATGAGCCCCTCCCCCTGGGAGGGGGAGTGCCGGGGAGGGGAGCTCCCCGCGACTCTCTTTGTCTCTCGCAGTGTTCGGGTTCCCTCGCTCTTTC